TTTTGTTGTCAGCTCTTCTGACTCAGAGCGGCAGCCGGATTGGATCGGATCCTTTTACAGATCTATTCCTGTCAGCTCCGGAGGGGGGGGAGGGAGGAAGCATCCAGAATCAAGCAGCAGTGGATGGGGGTTGTTATTTTCTAGCGAAAACTGGGCTTGTCGCTAAGAATCGGGGTCTGTGGTCGGCAGCTTTCTCTCCAGCCGTCTGGTCTCTCCCTCCTGATCCGGCTGGGCAATGGAGCCACGGATTACACTCTGCGGCGGGGACCGAGCTCGCGGTTGGTCTGTGCTGGCAGAATCGGGGTGGCTCTTCGCCGGCCCATTTGTCTCATCCACCTGCTAGGCCTTGGCTTTTGGGCCCCGCTCCTGCTTAACCCAGGGCTACTCACGGAGTGGGAGAGGAAGCCCGTAGGAACACAGAGATTGCCAGAGTGGGTTGGACCCACAGTCCCTCTAGTCCGATGTCCAGCACTAGATGCATCAGAGGAAGAGGATGTCAGCATGGGTGGAATAAACTCCCCTCCCCCAGCATTAGATCTCCCCTAATCTCTAATCGTTAGAGTGGCTTAAAGTATGACACCTGAGGATTAATATCCCTTCCAAACAGTAAGTCAGAGAGGAAGGACGGTCCAGTGGTTAGGGCACCAGGGCTAGGACTTGGGAGACGGGCACTTAGCCTCTCTGTGCCACGGTTCCCCCTTTAGCGAACTGCGGGTAATGAATATCCCTACCTCACAGGGGGAGTTGTGAGGAGAAATACAGGAAAGATGGATGATTTAGTTGGTGTTGGTCCTGCTTTGAGCAGGGGGTTGGACTAGATGACCTCCTGAGGTCCCTTCCAACCCTGATAGTCCATGATTCCATGGTGCAGCGCTTTGCGATCCTTGTGCCACAAGGCAAGGAGAATGGAAGCGCCTGATCTCCCTTCTCTGGACTACTCGATATTTTATAGGTTTCTATCATACCCCCGCTTATGCCTCTCCCAAGGGAAACAACCCTGATCTTTTCAATCTCTCTCCACGGGAGAGTTTTTCCAGGCCCTGGACACAAGCTTCGTGCTTGGGACAACCCTAAATCTCTGACTGCCGGAAGCCAGGAGGGGAAGATGGGTGGATTTCTCAGTACGTGCAAAATAATGAAGATGGCCTCCCGAATCTTTAAAGATACAAACAGGGGTAACAGTCTCTCATTTCCTTCCTGACCTGCAGGAGATAGCATTTGTTAAGCGCAATGGATTCTATTGTTTGGCGGGGGTGTGCGTGGGAGCTCGCTCTGCGTGAAGATCATATGGGAAGGGAGCTGGGGTTTTGTATTTAGCTCTGATCGTGCCAAGGCCTGAGGTTCCTTATCTCTTGTGGCAGCGAGTTCCCCAGGTCCAGCTCCTCAGACAGCTCTGTTTCTCACTTGGACTCCTCCCCCCGCTGTTGGCTGACAGTTTCAGCATCCAGATGATATGGGAGCATGGTCATAATTAAAAATAATAATTAACTTGTCGCCAGTAGCTCTCCAAGCGCTGTGCAAAGGAAGCCAGGATCCACAGACCCATTTGGCAGATGGGGAAACTGAGGCATGAGGCATGAAAATGACTTGCCCAAAGTCATCCAGCAGGCCAGTGGCAGAGCCCAGATCTCTTCAGTCCTGGTCTGGATCTCTGGCCACTAGCCAGACGTCACAGTCACGAGGGGTCTCAGCTGGCCTTTTGGCTCAGTGGAGAGCTAGTGCTCAGATCTGGCACTGGGGTGGCATGTTGCCAGCGAGCCATGTTCTGCCCCAGCTAGGTCACACAGTGAGATGCGCTGGGCACACAGGGAAAGGGGCCACTGTGGCCAGGACTGTGTCCAATGGGGCTTGGGGCGGGGGGGGGGGCAGTCTTCCAGCCAGCTGGAGGTCGGAGTGGGTGCCTCTGCTCCTGCAGGACCCCAGGGCGGGAGAGTGAGTTGGCAGGTGGCAGCATTGGTCCAGGGGGATACCAGGGGGTCTGTGAGCTCCCGCTTCCTACTGACCAGTCTGGGCTCAGCGGCTCTGATCCCTGGGGTGTGCGGCAGCTGACACTGGGGGCCGAGAAGGTGCGAGTGGGGTGTCGCCCCCCAGCCCCTGCTGTCTCACCTGCCCTCCCGGTGGTTCCCTTTGGCCATGCTGCAATGGGAATCAGGCCACGTGACGAAGTGGGACTGTTCTTAATGTTTCCTCTGAATATTGTAGGGGTGCCTCAGTTTCCCCTAGGCATTTCTTAAGTCTCTAGGTAAGTGAGAATCATAGCCCTAGTAAGAACAGTCCCACTTTGTCACAGGCCACACATGTGCCTAAGCAGCTGGCTGCTTTTGAGGCCTCTAACTAAGAATTTAAGGGGGCTGATTTTTAGCACTGCCCCCCACCCCCCACAAGATTTGCAGATATTGCCTTTGAGTTCCCTGCCTCGGTTTCTCTATCGGTACATTGGGATGACCATACTGGCCCGCTGTGCCTTTATGAAACACCCTCTGAGCCTTGCCTGGGGCTGTGGCCATTGCAGTGAACCCTGGGCTAATCACCTCCCTGCTCTGTGCCTCGGTTTCCCCATCTGTAACACAGGGCTAACGATCGCTGGGTGGTGTTATTCTGTGACTGCAGAATGCGTTGTTATTACCGGGAATACAAAAGGCTTCATTCAGTCCCTGGATCCACTAATAACAGGGCATCAGCGATTGCTAGGCCCTGCACGGGTGCTTCCCCCAGTGACTGGGGCGCGGGGGGAACACTGGTACCGCTCATATAAGGGCAGGGCAGGGTTAGATCTACTCCCACCCCACCCCTTCAAGGATTGACAGTCACAGGGGGGTGACTCGGAGTGGGGGCGAGGCTGCCCATTGGCAGGAGACAGTGCTGGAAAGGAAGCGGGGTGGGGGGGAGGTGGCTCATGGAGCACGCGGGGTCTGAATGTGAATCATTTGTAACAGCCCCCGTCAGTGGGGATATTCAGGAGCAATTAGCATTAATTAGCCCCTGTCACCGGCAGCCTCGGTGGAGAAGGCTGGGTGGGCCGTGGGGACTGAAAAGCGTGCGTGGGTGTGTGTGTGGGGGTGCTTTTACCTCCTCCTGTTCTGTGCCTGTGCTCAGAATAGAGAGAGCCCCCCCCCCTGTGCTGTCAATCACCCCCCACCCCTTAGGCCGCTGAACCGTGGGGAGAGGTTTCCTCTCATTTAAAAATTGCTTAAGTTCCAATTCCTCTGCCCACCCCCCCAGTCCCGTGGGATCCCAGGCAGGGCTGGCTGGTTCAAGGCCCTATTCCAGCTGATTTGGCGAAGGGATTCGAACCCGCCGCTCCCCGCATCTGGCTGCACAGTCAGAATCTGTCCTGCCCCAGCGGGTCCATTGGGTACAAAGCATTGAATGGCCGCCAGGCCTGAGGCGGGAGACCCAGCTGTACATCCCTAAGCTGGACTGGAAGCCAGATCTCTTGCTGCACATCAGGCAGAGCAGGGGTTTGAACCCAGGTCTCCCAGCTGAAGGCCTCGGCTCCCGGGGGAGGGTTTTGGGTTTCCAAACTTCCTGCCCAGCTCTGAGCTCAGGGTGGGGGGAGTTGCGGAGCTCACTGCTGGGGCATCTGGGGCCGGGGTGGGTAGGCCCTACTCGAGTGGCGTGCCGGAGACGAGGGCCGCGCAGGTGGATGGAGAGAGGGAGGCGTGTTTGGGGACAGACAGATCAGTGAGCACTTTAGAGACTTAAAACACGTCGGTTGTAAGAATTCTTTTGGTTCTGTTTGCACAGCGCCTGGCACTACGGGAGCCATCACTGTAATACAGCTAATAATTTACAGCACCTGGCACCATGGGAGCCATTACCGTAATACAGCTAATAGTGTACAGCGCCTGGCCCCATGGGAGCCATTACCGTAATACAGCTAATAACGTACAGCGCCTGGCACCATGGGAGCCATTACCATAATACAGCTAATAGTGTACAGCACCTGGCACAACAGGATCCATTACCATAATACAGCTAATAGTGTACAGCGCCTGGCACAACAGGATCCATTACCATAATACAGCTAATAGTGTACAGCGCCTGGCACAACAGGATCCATTACCATAATACAGCTAATAGTGTACAGCGCCCGGCAACATGGCAGCCACTACTGTAATACACCTAATAGTGTGCAGCGCCTGGCACTATGGGAGCCGCTACCGTAGTACACCTAATAGTGTGCAACACCTGGCCCCATGGGAGCCACTACCATTATACAACTAGTAGTGCACAGCGCCTGGCAGAATGGGGTCCTGGTCTGTGTGACTGGGGCTCCTGGGAGCTACCGTAATACACCTAATAAATAATGTACAGCCCCTAGCACAGTGGGGTCCTGGTCCATTGGTTACCGTAAGGCAAATAAACATTAGTAATAAGAAGAGCAGGCTAACAGGTAGCTGGGTGGGAGGTGCTGGTGGGCTGGACAGACAGAGCCCGAGATGGGTAGGCAGAGGGGTGGGTGGCTGTTCAGCAGGCAGGCTTCCGATCTGCTAGGGCCGCTCCCCTGGGTGCTACGTCCTGCCCCACAGACTTCCCTTCAGCCCCCACCCCCTCCGCCCCGCTCCCCCAGACGCGGTGCCCCCCTCCAGCTGCTCCTCTGAGCTTGGCCCAGCGCTGTCACCCTACTGGGTCACCCCCCTCCCCGGGGGTGCCCTCTTTGCCAGGCTATCACATAGGCGCCCCCACTGACTCCTCGGGGCGGGCGGGGAAGGGGGCCAGGGATTCCCGAGCCGGGGAATCCAGCCCAGGTTTTCCCCGCGCCTCTGCAGCCGGCAGCCTCACGCCTCGGCTGTTGGATTTTCCAAGGTGCCAACTCTCAGATGCTCCTTCGCTTCCCCCGGGTCCCCATCGGCGGCTGGCGGCTCCCTCGGCGGGGGTGGGGGCTTGAGTCTCCGGACCGACGACCCGCGAGGGCGCGGCCGCCCCGCTCCGCCCGGGGGGCCCCCTCCGCTGGCCCCGCGGTTCTGCGGACACCCCCCGCCGCCCCCGCGCCCGCCCCCCACCCCGCCCCGCGCCGCCTTCTGCAAGCAGCGGGGGACGCGGCATTGGCTCCGACAGCGCGCCCCGAAAGCGCTCCCGCAGGGGGAGGCGGGGGCTGGGTCCTGGCTTCGGCGCCTGGCCGGCGACATGGCCGATTCCTGACGGGGGGCACCTGCCGCTGCGCGCCGGAGGAGGAGGACGCATGGGGGGGCCCCGGAGCAGCGCCAGAGCCAGGAGCCCCCCGCGGGGTCGGCCGCTCCGAGGCTGCCCGGGCGCCGCTCGGCGGGGGCTGCTCTGAGCCCCGCTGCGCCCCGAGGCGGGCCGGGCCGCGAGTGGCTGCGGCCGGAGGGGGATGCCCGGACTTGCGCGTCTCTCCTGCGCTCGCCGCCTCCCAGCTCGCCGGGCCGCGCGGAGCGGCCGGGCCCGGGAATCGACGCCCCGCTAGGGGCTCTCGGCGCAGCCGGCCCGGTGGCCGCGAAGGCGAGGAGCGCCGGGCGCAGATGCGCTCCCCCGGGCACCCATGAGCAGAGGGGCCAGCCTGCAGCGGAGAACCACCTACCTCATCTCCCTGACCCTGGTCAAGCTCGAGTCCGTGCAGCCGCCGGAGGAGCAGGCCAAGGCGGGGGCGGGAGATGGAGCCCCCCAGCCCGGCTCCAGCCCGGCCGCCCCCGGCCTCTCCGGGGTGACGGCGCGCCGGGAGGGCGAGGGGCCCCGGGCGGAGGAAAGCGCCAAGAGCAAGCGGCAGGAGCGGAGCTTCCACCGGCAGGATGCGCTTTGGATCAGCACCAGCAGCTCTGGCCCCGGGGACTATTTCCTGCAGCTGTCGCCCAGCAGCCCCCGGACCCCGGTTCCCTCGCCCTCCCCTTCCCCGGAGAGCGCCGGCCGGCTGCTTGCCCTCTTGGCCGGCCCGGGGCTGCCCTCGCCCAGCGCCCCGGGCCCGGGTGCCCCGGCTGAAGACCCCAGAGCTCCGGATCCCAAAGCGGAGGCTCCTCTGACCCTGACGCCACCGGCAGTGCCCCCCAAGCCGGGCACCAGTCTGCATCCATCAGCCCCAGCTGTGCCCCCCAAGCCGGGCACCAGTCTGCACCCAGCAGCCCCAGCTGTGCCCCCCAAGCCGGGTACCGCTCTGCACGCAACAACCCCAGCTGTGCCCCCCAAGCTGGACACTGCACTGCTCCCAGCGGTGCCCCCTAAGCCGGACACTGCAGTGCACCCAGCTGTGCCCCCTAAACCGGATGCTGCACTGCATCCAGCTGTGCCCCCTAAACCGGACGCTGCACTGCACCCAGCTGTGCCCCCTAAACCGGACACTGCACTGCACCCAGCTGTGCCCCCTAAGCCGGACACTGCACTGCATCCAGCTGTGCCCCCTAAGCCAGACACTGCACTGCACCCAGCTGTGCCCCCTAAGCCGGACACTGCACTGCACCCAGCTCTGCCCCCTAAGCCGGATGCTGCACTGCTCCCAGCTGCCCCGGTTGTGCCCCCAAAGCCAGAAGCCATTGTGGCCCCAGAGACTCCGGGGGTGAATGAGACCCTGGAGGTGCCAGGCGAGAGGAGCCAGACCTCCCGGGAAGATCTGCCAGCCCTCACCACCAGCTGCTCCTCCAGTGTGGTGGCTCCAGACCGGAGGCTGCTGCTGAGCCATGCCAGCTGGGGCTGCCCCGAAGTGCGGGTGCCCGGAGCACCCGAGGGCAGCGGTGGCGGGCGAGCCGGGGGCTCCTCGTTCTCCTCCCACCTGGGCCCTGGCGCCTCCTCCCCTCACCCAGCGGCCGGGAGCCGGCGCCTCCGGCTGGTCAGCAACAAGCCTTTCAAAACTGTGACCACCAGCGGTGTCAAGATGGGCTCCGAGCCCAAGGCCAGCAAAAGTGCCCACAAGGGGGGCCCAGGCAACCGGCTGTCGTGGCCGGAGAGTGAGGCCAAGGGCCGCATGAAAGGGGCCCCTAAGGGCGGTGGGGAGGCGGCCCCCCGGGCCACCGCCAGGGTGAAGCTGTCCCCGCGCAAAGGCAAGAGCAAGACCCTGGACAACAGTGACCTGCTCCTGGACTCTGAGGGCCCGGCAGCCTCGGGCTTCTGCCCCTCGGAGGCCGGCGTGGGGCTGAAGCGGGGCCGCGAGGGTGGCCGGGCCTCCACCCGGGACCGCAAGATGCTCAAGTTCATCAGCGGCATCTTCACAAAGAGCCCGGCCTCCACCCCACCCACCCCGGGCCCGGGTTGGGCCTGGGCAGCCGGGAACTGCTGAGCCCCGAGCGAGCCAAGGAGTCCTCGCCCAGTAAGTATGGCTGCAGGCCTGGGGAGGGGGCAGTAGAGGGGAGGGGGTACGGTGAGGAGTTTGGGGGGGATGCCTTGAAAGCCGAGGAGCGGGGAGTGGATCGGGGGGCTGAATTATTTCTGCAGTTGTGGGAGTGGTTGGGATGGGGGTAGGTTTGGAAGCCAGGACTCCTGAGTTCTATTCTGAGCTCTGGGAGAGGAGGTGGGGGGGTCTAGTGGTTAGAGCAGGTGGGGCTGGGAAGCCAGGGTTCTGTCACATTTCCCTAATGAGCGCAGGTGAGTCACATCCCTCCATTGTGCCTCAGTTTCCTTTTTGGTAAAATGGGGGTGACAGTCCCCACTTGGGGAGGTGCCACTGATGAGGGTTCGGCACTCGGAGATCCATGGCGAAGGAGGCTCTTGATGGGCAAAGTAAAACCACAGCTCCGCCGAGAATGACGCAGACCCGTCCCTTAGGCAACGGGGTAGGGGGGCTACCGGAAAATCTGTGTTATGGAACTTTGCGTGTCCAGTCCCAAATGCGAGCCTGGGCACGGACCTCGAGAAGCTCCGCTCTGGGGTGTGATGGAGCCCGGAGCCTTCACTCTGTGTGTGTCAATCATGGAGATGGGGGGTTCTGGTTAAGGATGCACCCCCTTAGAAAGCCTGGTCCTCCCACAGTTTCTCCAGGGGAATCTGCCTAGAAGAGGAGGATGCTTTGACTGGTATCATGCAGGCGGGTTTCTGAGACCGTGGAAATCCAAGAGCCACCACGTTAGGTGTCTCAGGGGGTCACCAAGTGGGGACGTGAACTCAGAAACTGCCGCTTACGGGGGCCTTTGGTGTCAAGGCACTGCTGCTAAAGGGTTAATAAAGGCCAATGGGGGGCGAGTCTTGCAGCTGCGAGACCAGGGCCCCACTGTGCAGGGCGCTGCACAAACACATGCCAACGAGCTGGTCCCTACATGGTTAGCATGAGCAGCGCGGGTTAGGGGTGGTGAGACACCCAGGAGGGCGGATTCTAGGTGGGCCTTTGACCCGGTGGACTCTACGACAATGGATTAGCCATTTATTGAAACATCTGCTCGGCATTTATTAACCCTTGATTAATGCAACTGTCCCAGACAGTGGGACCTGCTGCTTTTTGACGAATATGTGACCCCCCCCCCCCACCAGGGTTTTAGCCTTTGGCTGTGTTGTCCCCCCGGAGACTCTGGTGCAAGGATTTCGGGGTATGGAACGGCTTCCGTATGAGGAGAAATGAATAGAACTGGGACTTTTCAGCTTGGAAAAGAGGTGACTAAGGGGGGATGTGATAGAGGTCTATAAAATCATGACTGGTGTGGAGAAAGTGAAGAAGGAAGTGTTATTTACTCCCTCTCCTAACACGAGAATAAGGGGCCACCAAATGAAATAAATAGGCAACAGGTTTACAACAAACACAAGAAAGTATTTTTTCACGCAACGCACTGTCAACCTCTGGAACGCCTTGCCAGAGGGTGTTGCGAAGGCCAAGACTATCACGGAGTTAAAAGGGAGCTAGATAAATTCGTGGAGGATTGGTCCATCAATGGCTATGAGCCAGGATGGGCAGGGATGGTGTCCCTAGCCTCTGTTTGCCAGCAGTTGGGATTGGGTAACAGGGCATGGATCACTTGATGATAACCTGTCTGTCCATTCCCTTTGGGGCACCTGCCATTGGCCACTGTCAGAGGACAGGATACTGGGCTTGATGGACCTTTGGTCTGACCCAGTATGGCCATTCTTATGATTTTGCGGCTTTGATTGCTCGGAGATGCTTCTCAAAACCAGGAGCGTTCTCCCCCCATCCTCCACCCCCATCCGTGTTTGCCACTGAAAATTTCCACGGTGAAATGGCGAGGGATCACCTAGGAAACGCTCCGTTGGCAGGGAGGTGGGTACCGAGCATCCGTTCCCCTTGCCGAGCGTCTCCCGTGGGAAAGGACGCAGAATCAGCTCCCAGGAGCAAGGTGGGAATTGCAAGGGCTGGAAGGGGCAGCCTGGATTGACCCTCTGAACGTCTGTGATGGGAGCCAAGCGGGGTCCTAGCCCGGCCTGTATGACATGGGATACGGCCGGAGGCAGAGGGCAGGGAAAGGACTTTCCAGCGGCGAGGCGGGGCTGCGCTTGTAATGATCCTTTTTGCAACATGAAGGATGAATCCGGCCAGGAAGCTGATTGGCGGGTGCGTTTTAGCAACCGGGAATCGCGGGCCGCTCTGCCGGGTGAGCCCAAGGCCACTCCCGCCGCATCAGGGTTAGAGTGCTACAGAGCCGCAGGGGTAGCACAAAGGGTTAACCAGCACGCAACCGTTTCTCTGTCGTGGAGGTGCAAAGGGTTAATACACACACACACACACACCCTTCCCCTGTTGTGGAGGAACAAAGGGTTAATACACACACACACACACACACACACACACCGTTCCCCTGTTGTGGAGGAACAAAGGGTTAATACACACACACACACACACACACACCCCGTTCCCCTGTTGTGGAGGAACAAAGGGTTAATACACACACACACACACCGTTCCCCTGTTGTGGAGGAACAAAGGGTTAATACACACACACACACACACACACACACACCTTTCCCCTGTTGTGGAGGAACAAAGGGTTAATACACACACACACACACACACCGTTCCCCTGTTGTGGAGGAACAAAGGGTTAATACACACACACACACACACACACACCCTTCCCCTGTTGTGGAGGAACAAAGAGTTAATACACACACACACACACACCCTTCCCCTGTTGTGGAGGAGCAAAGGGTTAATACACACACACCCACACCCTTCCCCTGTTGTGGAGGAGCAAAGGGTTAATACACACACACACACACACACCCTCCCCCTGTTGAGGAGGAACAAAGGGTTAATACACACACACACACACACCCCCTCCCCCTGTTGTGGAGGAACAAAGGGTTAATACACACACACACACACACACACACACACACCCTCCCCCTGTTGAGGAGGAACAAAGGGTTAATACACACACACACACACACACACAACCTTCCCCTGTTGAGGAGGAACAAAGGGTTAATACACACACACACACCCTTCTTCTGTTGTGGAGGAGCAAAGGCTGAATCACACACACACACACACACCCTCCCCCTGTTGTGGAGGAACAAAGGGTTAATAACACACACACACACACACACCATTCCCCTGTTGAGGAGGAACAAAGGGTTAATACACACACACACACCCTCCCCCTGTTGTGGAGGAACAAAGGGTTAATACACACACACACACCCACACACACACCCTCCCCCTGTTGTGGAGGAACAAAGGGTTAATACACACACACACACACACACCCTCCCCCTGTTGTGGAGGAACAAAGGGTTAATACACACACACACACACCCTCCCCCTGTTGTGGAGGAACAAAGGGTTAATACACACACACACACACACACACACCCTTCCCCTGTTGTGGAGGAACAAAGGGTTAATACACACACACACACACACACACACACCCTTCCCCTGTTGTGGAGGAACAAAGGGTTAATCCCACACACCGGGGCAAAGGGTGTGGGGGACACACACACACACACACACACACACCCTTCCCCTGTTGTGGAGGAACAAAGGGTTAATACACACACACACACACACACACACACCCTTCCCCTGTTGTGGAGGAACAAAGGGTTAATACACACACACACACACACACACACACCCTTCCCCTGTTGTGGAGGAGCAAAGGGTTAATACACACACACACACACACACACACCCTCCCCCTGTTGTGGAGGAGCAAAGGCTGAATACACACACACACACCCTCCCCCTGTTGTGCAGGTGCAAAGGGTTAATACACACACACACACACACACACACACACACTCATCCTCCAGGCAACAACCCAGCTGGCCGCAGGTAGCTCCAGCCGCTCAGGGATGCGGCATGTCCGTGTGGGCCTCCTTGCCAGACTTTAATTCCACAACCCAGCCCTACATCCATGAAGGAGAAGCCCCAGCGCAGGGCAGCACTGGTCCAGAGCTTGTCTTGTACTTAGTTCCTTTCCTCTGATGATGCAGCCCCCCCGGCTCCTGGATCTCTGACCGCTAGGCCCCACTCCTCTCCCAGAACTGGGGACAGAACCCAGGCGTCCTGATTCCCTGTCCCTTGGACAGCCTGCCTGAAACACTGAAAAAAACCCTATAAAACAGCTTTATAAAACGTGTATTTGCAAATTTTGTTTTTCAAATATTTCAGGAGCCTTTATCTGTGGGGTAGAGAGATGGGCTTGGCTGGGAAGAACCGCAGCGTGGAAGAGGAACAGAAAAGCCTGTTTTCCGGGACAGCAAGCTGGGATATAGAAAGGGGGAGGAAAAGCTAAACAGAGATGTAATTTCATTAAAATATCCCCTATGTCTGTGGTTCTGGTGGGATAAAGGAGGCCCCTTGTCAGACTCAGAGGCCAGGGTGATGGGCATGGGCTGGCATATGGACCGAATAGAATGATTTTCTATTATTATGAGCTTCTGAAGTGGAGCACTTACTCCAGATTAAAGCCACTGTCGAGGGTTCACACGGGGAGTTATGCCGGCAGAGTTGGAGCAGCCCATGGCTCCTTGTAGACAAGCCCTGAGTCTTTCTGGCTCAGATCCCGAAAGGTCGGAGAACTCCATGCCTTAGAAACACGTGAGAGATCTAGAACAGATCCCCAGTCTCTGGTGTGTAACAGACAGGAGCTCAGGTAGGAAATGACCGAGCTGCTGGTGCCCGGGAGAAGGAATTGCATGAACGGACGCTGGCAGGAGCGGGTCCCAGACATCTCCATTTTCCCTCCGGCTGCAATGGCTGAATCAGCCTGGCTCTGATGGAGCCAGATCCCTCCTCTGGGGAGCTGTCATGAAGACTTGTTCATCCTCTGGAATTGCAAAGCCGTTCCCGGAGGATTGTACCCACCCCCCGCCCCTGCCCTGGCAGTGAGCTGGAAAAGCCCAGCGGCCTGGGGCTGCCCA